CATGTTGTCCTTAATTCATCAAAATTGAACTAAGCCAAGTGTAGAGTGAGTAATGGTTCCTTTTGATAATTAACACGTGTGGAATAATTTTGTTCATCATTGTCTAATTTGATTTGTTATGTTAATGGGCCATTACAAAAGTTACTATTAGTACAAACAGTGAAAGACGAGAGATCTGGTCATTAATATTTTGGGAAGGGGTGATTAGCAGGGAAAAGAATCGTGGAGAGATAGATTTTGGTCAGGACGAATGAGTGGTTGTGCAGCATGCTTCGGAGGAGACTGAACTGGTTGAGCCTGTGACTGCAAATGAAAAATTCTTTCCGATCTAATGGTATAGGTTTATAAAGCTTCAATGAAATGGGATCTCTCCCTTCAAATTCGGATGTGAATATGATTTTGATATTCGCTTATTAATCTAATTCCAATTTCACATGTTAATAAGCAAACTAATGTGGGATTCTTAGTGGAAAACGCATTTCTATTATGAAATCTTTTGACTTTTAGTGTAATGTTCCAAAACGCATTTCTATCGCATAATTAGATTTTTGGCTGACGAGAATATTAATAAATATAGGTTTGGAAAATATCTAATTATAGGATCAGGAACAAGATAAAATAAGAGTGCCAATTTTAGAGCATGTTTGGCTAAGTTGAAATAAAATAAAAATTACTTTTAACTTTTGTTTTGCTTAGTTTAAATAAAAAAGGTTGCATATTATTTTCAATTTTGATAAATAAAATATATTATTTTATTTTAAAATTTACTTATTTACTTTTAAATAATAAGTTTTATATGTAAAATCATTAAGCTTAGCACGACATGTCCACATGTTTGGCAGAGATTAAAAGATTTACTTATAATAAATATATCTTAAATTAAATAATTTATTTTATTTATCAAAATTAAAGTTAGTATTTTTAGAGTAACGTTGCAACTTCAGTTAGAAGATTATAAAATCAATGATTTGTATTATTGCCATAGAAAATGATGAATGATATTGATTTGTTCTTGATATACCTATTCACCAACTGCAGTTTATCATTTGAAAGAATACTGAGGAAGATATGAGAGTTGGAAGATTATAGATCGAAGATCAAGATTCAAAGGTTCAAGTTCAAGAATCAAGAACAAAACAAAATGACGCAAGGCTAATGACCTTGAATCAAATTTGGTTAACGAGTAAAATTTTCCAATTGTACTTTTGTGATAAACTCGAGCCTTTTTTTTTTATATATATAATCGTGGATGTTCGGGCCAGCTTACGCGCACTTCGACTAATTTCACGAGCCCTGAAGTTTACGGTCATATACTCATTTTAGTGGTTCTGATGGGACTTTAACTGGTGATCATTGGGGAGCAAACCCAAATTCTGACTAATTGAGCAATCCCTCAGGGTTGATAAACTCGAGCTATTTATAGAAATTTAGGTAACTATTGATTATCATCTTGTTGGATAGTTTACATTATACTACAATCTTTCTTGAATCTTTTTTTCCTTTCAATATATTTGCCGTGCGGTGGATGAAACGGTCGTCTTACAACTGCAGCATCAAGCAGTGGTAAAATCTGTGATTTGTATGCTAACAACATAAGAATCACAAAAATGCAATGCTAACAGTCCATTATACGATTTGTATGCTAAGATTTGAAGCAAAATAGTAGAATGAAAAATAATTGACTTGTGTTATAATCCATGGGCACATGCAAAATTTGAAGAGGTGCATTCCTTCAATTCGATCCCGTGTATAACTAAACATAAAGTTTCTAAATAAAACATAAGTCTAACATAAAATAGTAGGAAATGCATATTGATATATGATTAATATCTGTCTGGGGAATGGATTGAAGATTATTAGGATTTCAGGCTCGGAATTTTTGATGGGAAAATTACGCAAAATCAGAATCTTAAAGATTCAATTTCAAAAATCAGATTAAAGGTTCCATTTTCAAAAATCAGATATTTTATTTTCAATATTAATTGTACAATTTTCATCTGCAATCTTAATCAATTTCATTCCAATTTTCCTCGTACTTCTCTCTTCTCTCTCCCCCCCTGTGTCACTCTCTCTTCTCTCTTCTTCACTATCCCCTCTTCGTCGGCAGCCTCGCTCACTCCTCCAAACCATAAATTTTCCCTTATTCTCTTTTTATCTACTTCTCTATCCATCTCTATGAGTGCCACTGGTCTTCTTTCTCCCTTCTCTTTATCTCTTTTTCTCTCTAACAGCTCTCACCGACGATGAAGGTCGTGCAACCTATGTGTGTGACGCAACGCAAGTGAGCTCTGCTGCATGCACTTTCGTTGATGCGACTATGAGTGGTAGTGGCTGGTTCAATTGGCCGATTAGGATGTTGCAGATGCATGGCGGATAAGGTAGTTTTTATGTCATGTCGGTGTGATGGTATTGGTGGTGGGGAAGAAGTATTGTTGTTGGTGGCGATTGTTGATTAGAGCAGTTGATGTTGGTGGCGATTGTTGATTATTGTTGGTGACGAATGGGTATGGAGGTACCGACAAGAGAAATGGTAGCGTGGTTGAGGTATGGGCCGTTTTGAGGACGTGGTGGTGAATTTAGTGGCGGATCTGGTGGTGGTAGATTTTGCGGCGGCAGAGGTGGTTTTGTAATTGATTTGGTTTGTTGGTTGTGAGTCATGATTCAATAAATTGGTTAATTTGTGACCAATAATTTGAGGTTGTGACCAATAAATAATATGTAACGATTACATGTTGGTTTTTTTAGATTATGGTTTACTGTTGGGAAGAGGTGGTGGTGGTTCTGACAACGGGATTTTGGTTTCCATGCTGTTGGTGGCAGTGGTGAGGTTGTAGTTGTTGTGGTGGTTACAGATTATTTGGTCATTTGTGACCATTAAATTGATTAATATGTGATGGATAGACAATATTTGATCAATGAAAAAGATAAATTGTGATCAAAAATAATGTGTGGCCTAAAAAATTGTTAATTTGTGATTGATAGTTTGACAATTTGTGACTTTCTACTAAGTTGTGACTTATAATATTTATGATTTGTGACTGATGAATAAGTTGTGACGTATAAATTTTTTTATTTGTGACCGATAAACAAATTGTGACGTATAAACTTTCTGAATTATGACCTATAAGATTTCTGATTTGTGACGTTTCAATTTGTTATTTGTGACCGATGAACAAATTGTAACCTATAAAATTTTTGAATCGTGACCTTAAAATAATTTTTGACATATAAAATTTGTAATTTGTGAAAAATTAATAATATGTGACCAATTATGTAGAATTTGTGATCAAATTATATGGAATTATGACCTTAATATATTTAATTAATAAAATATATGTTTAATTAATTAATTTAAAAATATCTGAAATTTGATATTTTAAACTTAAGTTCTTAAATTTGAAATTGGTAAAACTAAATCTCTTAGTTATGTATTGTTCCCATTTTTGATTGGGTAAATTATGCCCATTACTGCCCAAAAATAAGAAAATTGAAAAATAAAATAATTTATAAATAAAGAGTATAAAATACGTTCATTTCTAATAACTCCAGTTTGACTTCAGCAGTCTCACTTTCTTTCAATTCGTCGATATCAATGGCAATAGCTGCTGTCGTTCGCCACCATTAATCTTCACTCCTTTTCATATTCTTCTTTAAATTCCTCTCGATTCTCTTCTTTGTTTTGCCTTCAATCAGACATTCACCAAATGCTTCCAATTTCTGCTACTCGGAAACCTAATTCCCACATTTTTGCTTCAATGGGCATTCAGACTTCTGAGAAATTTTCTCCCGATTCATTTCTCAATCGTAGAGAAAGTGGTGTTCTTCACTTTGTCAAGTAGCATGGACTCGGAAATGATTTCATACTCGTAAGTTTTGCATAACCTGAATATATGGGTGTCTATGTATTTATCTGTGTTTACTTGTATGCATAAATTCTGTCTGAAGATTTATGGGAAACTCCGAAATTTAAAATTGACAATATGGAATTTTTGACATTTATGGTTTGTCAATTTGATAAGTTTGATAATCGAGATTCAGTGGAGCCTAAAATTACTCTAGAGCAAGCTATGAAATTCCATGACAGAAACTTTTGGTATTGGAGCTGATGGAGTGATATTTGCATTACCTGGCATCAATGGCACAGATTTTACGATGAGAATACTTAATTAATATGGTAGTGAGCCTGAGGTAATTTGCATTTCCTAATATAATCTTTTATTTTTCACGCTTTGGATGTTCATGTTTGCTCAAGATGCCTTGGATGTTTATATGTCAGTTAGTTATCCGTTGAGACTTCATAACTATTGCAATTTTTTCCCCTTAAAATTTGTACTCGTTCATTGTAATTTTGGTATGAAAGTCCGGTTTAGGAAAGGATGCTGAGCCATTGATCAAGAAATTGAACACATCGAAAGAGAGAGATCCCATGTCTTCAAGGGAACTAGCTGAAAAGTATCGTGAGAAGCTTGCTAAGCACATTAGCCCAAAATGCATCCCCCCTTTTATCCAGCAACACCGTTGAATTGTTGGTTATTAGATTGCAGCAAAACAGTTCCCGTTTCTTCTAATTTTTTGTATAGAGCAAGGTTGTAACTTTCTTGTATTTAGCCTTGTTCATATTCTAATCGTCCTTTTTTAGCTCAAGTATCAAAACTTTTGAGAAAATGTAAAAATTATTATGTAAAATGAGAATGTAAGAAGAGGGACGGTGGTTGTGTTACTTTTTTTTTTCCGTCACTTTATTGAATTGATTTTAATGTTTTAATTGGTGTGTCACTTTTTTTTATTTTTTGTCACTTTTTTTTGTGTGTCACTTTTTTTGAATTTCTGTCACTTTTTTATATCACTTTCCTCGGATTTTTTTTTCACTTTTTTGAGCTACAAACATTTCTTTTTAATAAAAGTGATTTTTTTTAATTAAAAAAGTGACGTTAATTAAATTATTTAAAAACGTAATTACTACGTTATAAAAGATGATTTCTTCTTGGCTCTCTATCACTCTAATATTTCTCTACTTCTTCATCTTTATCTCGGCCACCACAGCCTTCAACATCACCATGCTCTTTGGAAGATACTCGAAATTTAGCAACTTTAACGATCTTTTGACCAAAAGTACTCTCTCCATTGACATCAACAAACAGAAAACCATCACCATCCTGGCAATGTCTAATAACGTAATCGGAGGTCTTATGGAGAAGCCGAGGAGGACCCGAAGGGTGTTCTGAGCAACCATGTGATGTTGGATTATTATGATACCTTGAAACTTTAGAAATTGAAAAACAGATCTATCGTTGAGGGTCGAGTCGAGAAAAAGGAAATCATGCCCTTTCCAAAATGCCAGATTCCCAAATTTCAATTGTGTTTGGGAAAATGGGAAATCGAGTTCGGCGAGGGGCGAAGTGGATGATTTTCTGGCAATATTCAAGCTTGGGTTGACCCCAAATATTGTGGTGATGCTTGATGATTTATGTAAAGATGGTTTTGTGCAAGAGGCAATGAAGTTTTTTGGGTTAATGCGAGAGGAGTACTATTCAGAAAGTGGTTGTATACACTACTGTAACGGAAGGCTTTTTCAAAGCACAGTAGTTTGAAGATGTAGTGAGAATTTTTTTAAAAAATGCAGAGTAATGGGGACATTCCAAATGCATTTAATTATGCGGTTTTGATTCAGGGGCTTTGTAAAGGGAAGACTAAAGAGGTTGGAGGACGCCTATGAGCTTTGTATTAAGATGTTGGAATAATGCCACTTTTTATTAAAAGGTACCCCTTTTCCAGTTGCCATCTAAACAAATTCTGATTATATATTGCTAAATTCTCAGCAGTTGCACCGGTTTCATCCGAATCATCTTTTGACAGCCAACCCATTTCTGATACCGTCACTTCTATCCCTTCATACCCCATTTTAGCCATGGCAAATATTACAGCATCTACTTGTGCATATAACATGTCGTCATAGGCAGGGACGGAGCCAGCCCATCAAAGTAGGGGGGTCCGAGAGTTGAAGGGGTGGGGGCTCACGGAGCTGCCCCTGAATTTTTTTTTTTTCGAAACATTATCTATTAAAATGAGGGAAGTTAGTACTTT